CAGGTACCTTGACCAGGTGCGAGACTGGTAGTCTTAGTGATGGTTTGGGAATCCTTATACCCCGATTTAGTGAGGGGTTTTCGTGAATCAGAAGATTTTGGGTAAAATGCAATTGTAGAACCTTGGATCTCGCGTTATGAGTTATGTAACGAGTTGGTTCTGGTGGGAACTCGCATTGGAAATCGTGAGTGTGCATGTGCAAGGTCTTCATTTCAACGGGATATGAAAAAGGGCATATATATGACAAGGCTATCAGTTGAAGGGTTTAGTGTTAAAGGATGGTTTCAATTTTGATGATAGATTAGGCTCTCGTGACTGTGTGTTGAGTGGTTCTTCCTGTGTGGAAGTCAGGCAAGTATGGGATTTCAGGATGGTAACAACGGTATGTTGGTTCGACAATTAAAGGAAGCAGTGTCTTGTTCAGCACTAGAAGCTTTATCTCCTAGTTTATCTCGCATTGTTCAGGGAATTGTTATCATCAGGACAAGCTCTCTCTTGATGGAATATCTAACCCCTTTGGTCAAGTGGAAAGTTATCAGAAGCAATGTATGGTCCGTACTTCTGTTCTCTAAGTGAGAAACTCAGGGAATCAGAAGTGGGTAGTCAGTTAATTGATAAGAGGAATGGAATTAGCAATGGCTCAGTACAGGCGGTCTGTTAGAGAGTCGGATCAATTCGAGACTTCATAGCAGGGCAAATTGCCCATGCTTAGTGGTTGGGGAAGATTGGGTCCCATCGCACATACTTCGGCAGGAAGAGAGGGTCAAGGTTTCTTCAGACGATATTGCGGGTATGTTATCTTTGCTTTCTTCTTGGTTATTATCAAAATTTATATTGACTTGGAATTTAGTTTTGGTTCGGGTAAGTATTATCTCTGGTTCGGCTCTCTGCTATTGTTTGGGTTATATCATCAAGAGTTGTTATATGCTATTCTGCATGCCATGAATCATTAGTGGGTCGCATCTTGCTGAGAGGGTTTCAGCGTGTTCGGTTGATGTTCTGGGTCCTTGTCGGGATCAATTAAGGGGTATTGATTGAAGGGTGTATGATCAGATTAGCTGGTTAGTCTCCAATGAAGTCATAGTTCAGTTGTGTTAGCAAGTATTCTAGCATAATCGACAGTTTTCCATGGAAGGACCTTTGCGTTCAATCACTACCGTTGCTAGGGAAGGATTGGTAGCAAGAAGATGGTGGTGGCAGTTGTGCGAGTTGTTTGATCAGTGGAGGTGTCGGAGGAATTTCATATTCGCATGGGTTGTAGATGGTTAGAATTCAGTGATTCTTGTTCAGCACTAGAAGGTTTATCTCCTAGTTTGTCTCGTGTTATTTAGGGAATTATTATCATCAGGATAAGCTTTCTCTCGATGGAATATCTAATCCCTTTTGTCATGTGGAAAGTTGTCAACAACAATGTATGGTCCGTACTTCTGTTCTCTAAGTGAGAACCTCAGGCAATTAGAAGTGGGCAGTCAGTTGATAGATATGAGGAATGGAATTAGCAATGGCTCAATACGGGCGGTCTGTCAGGGACTCAGATCAATTCGAGACTTCAGACTTCAGGTTGAGTAGATGTGACTATTCTGCATAAGTCTGTACTAGGCTAGGAAAGGATTCGTTCAATTTCGGGCTTGGAGAGCCCTACTAAGGTTGGGTTCAGTTGCCTTGGGGAGGCAGTTGTATGCTAAAGATTGTGGTCGTGTTTCTCAGGTTATCTGGTGTGCCGGGGATGGTAAGGAATGATTTCGATAAAGAAATATAATTCAAGTGGGGGATAGTTGTAACGCCCTGTTCCGAATTGTTTCCTAATGCGGGGTGGTGACCCGAAGACCGAGTAACATCAGGTTTAGGGCCTTTGAGGAAAAGATATGTAGACCTAGTTGGGGTGTGGATAAGGTAATTTAGATAATTTGGGTGTTCGGTTTGTGTTATGAAGCCAGGGGTATATCGGTAAAAGTGTCAGTTCAGGCTTTTATGGAATTGGGTTTTATTTTGGGAAGTTCTAAGGCAAGTATGAGTTGATAGAAGCGTAGATCTTCTCGTTACCTTTCCGTGGATATAAGGATCGTCGGAAACAGACTTATAACGAAGAAGTTATGGCCTTCGGAAGTTTGATGGTTTTAGGGTTTAGTCGGGTACGCGGGGCGTACAGGTGTACGCGTAGCGTACTAGTGAAAAGGGCAGTACATGGGGCGTATCTCGGCGTATGCTAGGCGTACTGATTAGGATGGTCGCGGGTGCGCTATGGAGTATGTTGAGCATACCATATGTAGGTTGGACGTACTCCAGCCAAACCCAAACCCTAATTTAGGGTCTTGTATCCTATTTAAGCTCCTTATCTCATAACCTGATGCTAATAACTTCAGCCTCCATCCCTCTAAACCCTAGAAATCGACCCTTAGACTCCATTGATGTGTATTTGAGATCTTGAGAAGATTTTGGTGGTTATTTTGCCTTTTGTGAAGGAAGTAAAGAAGATCGAAGGTGCTTTGCTTGGTGAGGAGTTTATAGATCTAGAATCATCCACCTTTTTGCAAGACTTTAGAGGTATCAAGTTCATAACTTGGATTGTAGATGTCTAGATCTCTTTATGGCTTGATTTTTTGTGTTTTTGGTCCCTTTGGGTTGGTTGTTGAGTTAAGACGTTTGAAGGACTTAATCTATTAGATATGAGCTTGTTATGGACTCCTTAGGCATAAAGGTGCAAGCTTTATGGGATATCTGGTCACATGCATGCATTAACTCACTTATAAAGTCCTTTTGAGCTTTAAGATCTTCATTTAGCCATGCATGAATGTAAAGTTAGCAACTTTACGTGATAATCCAGCTCAAGGAAATCAGATCTACGTTTTTGAGCATTGTCTTAAGGGATTAAGGGCTAAACATGAAATGTGGCTGATTGGGATGATTACGCTGGGCGTACAACCTAGTACGTGCAACGTACAAGCCCAAAAGCATGTACGCTTAGCATACAGCTGAGTACGCGCAGTCTGGTGGACTTTGCATTTTGGGCTTTGGGTATGGACCATTATGCTGGGCTTAGATGCTTGGGGTCTTGTTGGGCTATCTAAATGCAATTGTTTGGACTAGGAAAAATTGGTGGGCCTTGGGGGTAAGGTCCATGTAAGGGTTTGGGCCTAATTTGGAAAATTGGGTCATATATGGGCCTTTAGTGTTTGTTTGGATTTGGGCCTTTGGATTGTTGGTTTGGGCCTAGGTTTGGGTCATGTTGAGTAAAAGGGTAAAAATGTGTTTTACCCTAGTTTGAGTACGTAGTGTGGACCATATCCGATTATTGATGGATGATTATTTTGGTAATTTGTAGCGCGAGTTTTAGGCGGGGCAACAGCCAGAGATTCTTTCTGTGAGATTCGGCAGTGCAAGGTGAGTTCTCTCACTATTTCAATGGGTCGAAGGCACCGAGGCCGTCCCATTACTTGTTAGGTGACAAGATAATTGTATATGTGCTTGCTTTTTTTGATAGACCTCGGGGGTAGCCTGAGACACTTGTATGGAAGACCTCAGGGGTAGCCTGAGGCACTTAGATATCAGACCATAGGGGTAGCCTATGTCATTCCAGGGGAAAGACCATGGGGGTAGCCCATGACACTTGGATATTAATTAGACCATGGGGGTATCCCATGACATTCCAAGGAAAAGACCATGGGGGTAGCCCATGACACTTGGATGTTAGACCATGGGGGTAGCCCATCGCAATTGTATGTGTGTTATTGTATTGTGGGAACTCACTAAGCTTTGTGTTTACGGTTTTCTGTTTTTGTTTCAGGTACTTCTGTTTTCAAAGGGAAAATCTTGGGATGATTGCAGAGCACACACCACATGTTTCAGCATTTTATGATTTACTATGATATTAATGATGTATCAATACATTTGATAACCTTGGTTTTATGACTATAGTATGGTTTGATGTTTTACTAATTTTAAAAACAAAAAAAAAATTATAGTCTTATTTTTGGGATGTTACAACATAGGCTATGTTTTAGCGAAGAACAATTCCTCAAAGGAGTACCTCTAAAGAATAGATTCTCAGAGGGCATCTCTGTGGAACGATGCACCCTCTGTGGAATTAAAATTTTATAAATTTTTTTATTTTTTTCTCTTTTTCCACCGCCACGTCATTTCCTCAGAGAGTTTTCTTGTTCCTCAGAGGTAAAGGACTTCCGCAGAGGCCCTCTCTGCGGAAGTCGTGGTCATTTTTCGAAAACTCCTAATTCTTAGTCATTTTCTTCAAACAGCCCCTCCTTTTTTATCATTTCACAAATTTTCTCCTTAAAATATTTTCATTTTGTGATTGACGACTTCCTTTTTAGTAAAGACTAACGATCTTAATAATAATAATTATTATTTTATTGATGTTTAGAGACGCCTACAAATATAGTTTATATGTAAATAGAAGAAAAAAAAGCTTATCAGTTATTTTCTAAAATTCACAAAAAAAGTAAGTAAATTAGAATTGGAAATTTTAGTGCAACCACCATATCCTTAACATTATTTTTTAGACTATACTTATAATTACATTGTAAAAGATAACATAAACACTAAATTACTCCAACTCATTACATTATATTTAACAATAAAAAGAATATTTTAGGTATATTCTTCTTCATCCAACTTTTATAATTTTATAAAAACAACCTTTATATTTATTTGGTTTTATAAATTTGACTAATATACTTTTATTACATATGCTTAATAAATTATATTATCAAAATTTTATGAACAAAATATCCGTAAACGGATTTATTAAATAAAACAGACTTACATTTGACATAAATTTGATAACGCTATTACATAAACATTATAATTATATAAAATAAACAAAACATAACTAAGATAAACATTATAATTATATAAAATAAACAAAACATAACTAAGATGAAATTATACAAATGAAACTTTTAACATATTTAATGTGGATAAATAGCATAACACTACCAAGTACCAACACTATATACAGTATTAGTTAGTGTAAAAGTGATGCCCTAAAAATAGCCAAAGGCAAGAAGTTCGGGGTCACTTTGAACAATGGCAAGGTCATGCTCTCCCAAACACATGAGTACTTCAATACCATCCTTGTTCGGGGCATCTGTAAGAATAAAGGTATTTTTCCTCGCAACTCCGGCAAGGGCTACTTTTATAGGCTCTCCCCAACCAAAATCAATCTCATATGCATGATATCCACACAGGCTTGTAAAGATATAAACGTCATCAACTTTTCTTAGTTGTTCTTCTAAATCACTGTCTAGAACACCAAAGACAGTTTCAATATTTCTTAGGGATTTGAATTGTATTTTTTGCTTCTTGAACCCACTAATGAATAACTCGGGGTTCATTTCACTTTCCTTCTTTATTAGAATCTCCATGGGCATTATCAAATTTCCAATGCTCTTTTCCGGAAGCTGCTCCATCATTAAGCCTCTAAGGTTTGCTATTTGGACAGCACCAGTGGGTTTGAAAGATCCTGAATTATTTTTAGTAGCTGCTGCCATTGCACACTTGTAAAGCAGCCAGGTCAAGACTTCAACACGAGTAGGGTTTGTGATCGGTTGACCAGATTCTGCTGCCATGGCTTTCACTTTCAGTTTAAGCTCGTTTATCTTTGAACCGGGGAACATGAACCTTCTTGTGATGAGACAATCGTCAGGTCTCGATATGATATACCTACTTGGATTTAGATTCATGTATTGGAAAGGAAAAAAGAAGGGGTCGTCAATGGAGAACTCATATTTCCGTCGTGTCATTTTAGCCCAATCGTTTATAAAATGAACCAAACTGCTTCCGTCTGCAATCTTGTGTGACAACGACACTGCCACCGCTACTCCTCCACATTCAAAATGGTTGATCTGAACCTCCAGTGGAGTCACTTGATCACTTTGAAGATCATCATCTCCGTAGTTGGAGTTGAAATGTACTAGACCATGTGGAAAGAATTGGTCAAGATCTTCATGCGACGAGTTTTGAAGGAAATCCGATAGTGTGGTATCAATGGATGCTTCAAGGAACTCAGCTCCATTGTCGTTGCAATCTACATACGAAGGTTTCACTTTAGCGAATCTACCAGCAAAAGGATAGTACTTTGTTAATGTTTGAGACAATGAGTTCTTCAGGTTAAGTGTCTTATCATGGAAACCACGATAAATCCCGCGGGTGTTTGGGTAGAATGTAACTATTGGCATAAATGTGTTGGGCGTGATTTGATCCATTATCGAAAGATTGTGAGTTTTGAGGTGGGAAGGTGTCGGAGAAGAGGGTTTGATGATTTCTCTAGAGACTATTGTGTGAAGCTGCCTTCTACCATATCGTACCAGGTTGCTTATCATCGTCATCTTCGGTCTTCCCAAACAAGAAAGATGAGATTAACCAAAGTACCAAACTGTTAGTTTCATATCTTATATGGGCATAGTTTGTTTAATTACATTGATAAATTAATGCATGCTTTCCACCATGGGAATCTAATCCCGATTATTAAGGCGGGTATCAATGATAAAACTCAACGCCAGCTAGAGAGTAGAGAGCAATTAAAAGAAGTGATCAACATGCCAGATGTTCCCTTTGGTTTTTTTATCCATCCACTTAATAAAATTTTCTTTTTCCTTTTATGCCTTTATTCACCGCCACTTATTTTGATTTTGATTTTGATTTTGTAGCAGTTTTTTAATTTGACATTTATGCGTTGAATTTGGAACACACGATCTTTATTTTGGTTTCCTAACATAACCCTTATTGGTGTGGTAGTGGTAGATGTAAAATTAAATTGGTGTCCCACTAATTTTCATGATCTAACACTAATTTTTTTCCATGTCATATTTTTTTTTTTGAGTTTGTTTGTTTGTTTTTTTTTTATTTTTTAATTAATAACAGAAATACATTTTTATAAAATATAATATTTAAAAAACAAAAAAATACATAATATTTAAAAACTAAAATTAAAATTACAATAAAAAAAAGACATAATTTCAAATTTCAAAAGATAACATTTTTTTCAAGTTCTAATTAACCCAAATAACATTTAAATTAAACCTAAAACCATTACATTTTACTACTAATCCTAATTAACCGAAATACTTCTTCATAATTTGATGATTCATTGCTTGTAGCACCACTAGATCTTCATGCGTCAAACCCTCATCGCTAGTCCGAAGAATTGACAACTGATTTGTCATTAGTTTTCTCTCTTTTTGCTCCTACTTCTCCCGTGCTTGCCTTTCTAGGAACTCCAAGTGACGATGTTTCAATTCATTTTTTTTCTTTTATTAACAAATTGTGCTCATCGAATTTCGCTCTCATTTTCACTGCATCTTTTGCTTTCGCCTCAACCTCCTCCGCATGCCTTGCAACGCGTATCGCTTTGTCTCGTTCGGGTGGTCGTCGTGGTGGGGATATCTCCTCGATATCATCCGGGATTTCATCGGTGTCGTCGTTTAGATCGATGTGAGTCCGTACGTCTGACACGTCGACCGAGCTCGAATTGCGAGACCTTTTGGATTGAACCTCCGACGATGTAGGAGTTTTATTCCACTTTGGATCTGCTCTCAACAACTCCCATGATTTCTCAAACTCGAAAACATGTCACATTTCGACCCGATATTGTTCTTTTTCAGATTTGAACAAATCGAAGTCGTTGGTTCCGCTTTGCTATTGCGCCTCAAACCGATTGTAAATGTCGTTGAATTTGTTGCATCGCTTAGTTATTTGACTCTATTTGCTGCTTAACATGTCATTATTGTGATATAGTTGTTTCTTCAAAATAGCGTGGAATTTTTCGCGCACCGACCCCCAATAAGCACCTTTCTTCATTTTATTTCCGCGGAGTTCGTCTATTAAAGTAGTACACCATGCCGCCGTCAAAGCATATTCCTCCTTCGGTGTCCACCATTGTGGAACGTCTACATTTTCAGTTTCAACCGCTATCGATTTCCCTTTTGCTTTTCCTTTCCCTTTCCCTTTCCTACTACCTCCCGCTTCCACTTAAACTGATGGTTGTGTTGGAGGTGGTGGTTTGTTGCATCGAAGCAAAAGTAAGGAAAAGATTTTGTTGTAAATTTGGGTTTTGACCAAATAGATTTTGTTGAAGGTAAGGTATGTAGGAAAATTACTGTGGTGGTGAAGCGAGATTGAAAGCGGCGCCTTGGTATGAGATTTGTGGTGATCTTTAAGATGATAAAATATTGATATAATTTTCATAACTCGCATATCCGAGAGACGATGTTGTGTTTGGTTTTGTGTTTGGGTTTGATGATGAAGAGGGGGGGGGGGGGTGTTTGAGTTTTGCTCCATTTTTTTTATTAAAAGAAAGTATAAAATATAGAGAGAATGAGAGAAACATGTAAAAATATTGAAGTAAAATGAGTATTTATATAAAGTTAAAAGGGTAAAAAAAATATTTTAAAATTTGACCGTTGCAAACGGTCACATACCCAACATATATATTTCCCCCGTTTCAATACGTGGTAACGGGCACGAGAAGTGCCTTAACGAGAAGAAACGAGAAAGGGGGGCGGCGGTGTTCCCGTCGTTATGGCGTTCCATGTCACCATAACGAGCAAATAAATACGCCATACCGTATCGTCTAGTTGGTTTTATTTTATAATTTCACTTTTATTCTTTTTTTATTATATTAATTATGATTTTATTATATATTATTAAAATTATATATATATATATATATATATATATATATATATATATATATATATCTTCCTTCTTCCTATTTAATAAACGAAACCTTGTGTCCAGGTGTCACTTCCACCAAGCATTTTACATCAAAGTGAATTTCCAGTTATACCCCTCCTTCATTCAGTTCAATTTGACTTTTTTTTTATCTAAATCTGAATTCAAATTTTGAAATACAGACTCTCTCTTAAAAATCAATTTCTCTCCCCTCTTTAGAAAAACCTAGGTGTCTGGGCCTTCGTCTTTGTTTCCGATCGCTGCCAACGATTGAGCAAAAAAAGGTAAATACTTCGTTTATGGTCTCGATCTTAAGACATATTAGTGTCAGACGTTTCATCTTCATTCTATTTGTTGTTTAAAACCTTAATATATTTGTCTTCTTTCTTCCTCTGTTAGATCTTTGCCTTTCTGCTTTATGTTCGCGCACACACACACATCTGTCACCCTCTATCTTTCTGATTTAGGTTTTTTCATTTCTTCGACTTATCTCTTTCTGATTTAGGTTTTAACTTCAATTGTAGGTATGATTGGGATTTTCTGAAATATAGGGTTTGTGATCATAAGATGAAGCTCCCTCTTCAAGTAGTCTCACTAAAATCCTTTAGTTTTTTGAGTTCATATTCTTTTAAATCCCTTTTTACACTAGTATTTTTGATCTGGTGCAGAATTCACAAATAGTGAAAAAAGTGTGGCTGCAAGAATAAATAAAATGTTTTCATTTGTTATATGGGTTTTTTTGTGCTCAGAAAAGTCTAAACTCCAAATGCACAAGGTAAATATTTGAATTTTTTTTGTTATAATTCCTTCTCCCCTCTCCTTCCAAGCAAATTTATCATGTCAACCCTGTGCATTATAATGTAGATCAAAATTTCCATCAATATTATTTGCTTGTCAAAATTGGGTATTGATTAAGCTTAAAAACCCAATTTCTTTTATAAATGTGTTACATTTTATTTGACAGGCAAAGATTTTCAACGACATATGAGCAGATTTCCTTCCTTCTTCTCACTCCATATCTATAATTCATCTAATTTCAGTTTACACTCATCAGAGATGAATCTTACCTACAGAATCCAATATCAATAGAAATTGAAAGAGAGAATCACCAATTATTCGTCAAGAAAAGAGGATTTTGACAAGTTTATGGGTTTTGAGTTAGTTTGTAGTTGGCTGTAATTAATTTGGGTGGGAAGGTTGCGATTGGATTGAAGCACTTGGTTGTAAGTTATTTTATTTTGTGATTCTTTTTTTTCATATACATATTTCAAATAATTGTGATTATTCTTTATTATCTTCTTATTTCAGAAACAATTATATATAAAAAAGAAATGAAAGTCTGGCCACTATAACACACAAATAAATGCACCGGGGGAAGGTTAAATATCTCTAAACATCCATTTTTAGTTACTGGAAGTAATCAAAATTTTTACTTCGAGTATGTAGATTGTACTTGTGTTCTTGGATGCCAAATTTAGTTGAGTGCTTGTGTTCTTGAATGAAAATTTTAGTTTTAAACGACTTTCTTTTTCATCTTATGAAAATTATAGGTTGAGGAGATGGGTTCAAGGAACACCAGGAGCACCAAAATGAAAGTTCATTTAATGTTATTAATAAAAAAGAGGATGCTATAATAAGCAAATAGATGGGCATGGTTGTCCAATTTAACTCCCGTGCTAGAACCTAAAGGTGCGTTGTTATTCTCAAGAGGGAAACAAGAAGGTTATCTTGAATATCACCCATGTAGTGGTTTGTTTAATTCTAGTTTTTTATTATTTTGAAAATTAAAATTTTCTTTATTTAACCCAATTATAGATGGTTCAATTGTCAATTCGATGGTTTTGCTACCTTAACAGTGTAGGCTCGAATATCAATTTTCATATCCATCTCAAAAAAACTCAATCAAAGGACCCACCTGATAAAAAATACAGTAAATCTTTTTAACCAATCATTTAGCCCTTTTGCTTTACTGTACATCTCACCGCAACCCTCTTTTTTCTTTTGAACTTTCATTTTTTTAATAAAAGACCATCATGCCCTTCAAAAAATATCCACTTTCCACACTCTGCACTTTTGAATTTTCATTTTACAGATCACTAACAAAGTAGCATTATAATAGAAGTTTTTATTAGCACTACTAACAATCAAAATACCATATTGCCGCCTTTTCTTTTATTTCGTAGACTATCCCATATTTTAGACCAGACTTTCTTTCAAGTATTCAAATCCCAAACTAACCACATTCAATTTATCTTATTAAAATTTCAGCTAAACATCATCATTAATCTTATCAACATGAATTCCCCACTTCCTCTTCACTTCATAATCAAATCACATGTAATCATTCTTGAAACCAGTAACTTTAAGCCATATATCTTCAAGAATAAAAAGAACCACTTTTTTTTGTTACTTCCTCTCTTGAAAGTATGTTATTCGATTCCCTCATATTACAATTCCTTTGACAGTTTACTTTATGGCTTATTTACAATAACCAAATTTTTTTGAATTTTTGTCTCACAGGTATTTTTAGGAGATTCTTTGTCCTTTATATTAAAAAACAAGTCTTTATAGTTAAACTTATTTGTTAGTACTTGTAGTAAAACATGGGTAATAGATAGGCGCGTAAAGGTTTTTTTATATGGTCATAAATAACAAT